TCAGCCCCTTTAATTTGTATCTCTACTGGCCGACTGATAAACATAGCATCATATCTCATCTCCATACCAGGGTGTTAGTCTGTGCTATTCTGCATAATCTACTGGAGATACATGGGTTGTACAACTATTCGCATATTTATTTATGTTCACATACACGTATTGACATACATGCCAACTGTGTGTATTGACATGTCTGTCAGCTCACTTCTGTGCTCCTGAGCTCTGTATATACCCATTTATGTGTCATCTGGACTCAGTACAGTAGCAGGTCGATACTTTTTATGAATCAAAAGAGAAGGTTTTTAACAGACTTGTGTGTGTGCACATTGTGCACATTCATCTGTAACACAATGGAGGCTTAAGAGAACAGCATTGTGCAAAACAAGAACAATACAAGCTGCTGACAAGTCCAAGATAATCCAAAAAAGATTCATAGAATCATAGAATCATAGAATGCTTAGGGTTGGAAGGGACCTCTAGAGATCATCTAGTCCAACCCCCCTGCACACGCAGGGTCACCTAGAGCACGTGGCACAGGACTGCATCCAAGCGGGTTTTGAAGACCTCCAGAGAAGGAGACCCCACAACCTCTCTGGGCAGCCTGTTCCAGTGCTCTGTCACCCTCACTGTTAAAAAAAAAAAATCCTTAAGTCCTGTGGAACTTTTGATATTTCAGTTTGTGGACATTATCTCTAGTTCTGTTGGTGGCCACCACTGAAAAGAGACCAGCACCATCCTCTGCACTCCCTCCCTTGAGGTACTTATATACACTGATCAGATCCCCTCTCAGCCTTCTCTTCTCCAGGCTGAACAGGCCCAGCTCCCTCAGCCTCTCCTCATAGCGCAGATGTTCCAGGCCCCTGATCATCCTTGTAGCCCTGCGCTGGACTCTCTCCAGCAGCTCCACATCCCTCTTGTACTGTGGAGCCCAGAACTGGACACAGTACTCCAGATGCGGCCTCACCAGGGCTGAGTAGAGGGGCAGGATCACCTCCCTCGACCTGCTAGAGATGCTCTTCTTAATGCAGCCCAGGATCCCATTGGCCTTCTTGGCCACGAGGGCACACTGCTGCCTCATGGTCAACTTGTCGTCCACCATGACACCCAGGTCTTTCTCTGCAGAGCTGCTCTCCAGAAGGTCAGTCCCCAGCCTGTACTGGTGTCTGGGGTTATTCCTCCCCAGGTGCAGAACCGTGCACTTGGTCTTGTTGAATTTCATGAGGTTTTTCACTGCCCAGTTGTCCAGTCTGTCCAGGTCCCTCTGGATGGCAGCACAGCCCTCTGGGGTATGATTAAATTACATAATTGATATGCATTGGGTAGCAGGTAAAAAAGCCCGTTCCTTTGTAAAGGGCCTTGTAGCTCTGTTCCATGTCTCTCTTTGGGCTCAGCCTGTGTAGCCACAGGCCTGTGTCTCTGAGCTACAGCAAGGAAACTCTCCACTGAGGCTAATGAATGCACAAGAACTTTGTAAAAAAAAAAAGCAAGTATATTAATTTTTGACAAGTTGTATTAAATTATTACATCCATTGTGTCATGCTGCCAGTTCTTGACAGTAAGACGAGGGAAGGACAAGGAAAGATTGCAGCAAGTTTTATAAAGCTCTGATGTGGATCATCCCCACATCTCCCGTGTAAGAATACCTTTTGCTCCCTTCGAGCATTGGTGAATGGCAGGGTCCCACAGGGAAACACTTGCGTCATTCACTGTGGTTTGTCAACATCTTGCTCCTGTCTCTGTTAGGGTTGTCCAGATCCTGCTCTGGGACCAAACTCAGCTGCGTGTGTCCAACTTTTCCTGGTGTGATCACTGCATCATAGAATCAATCATAGAATCATTATGGTTGGAAAAGATCTTCAAGATAGTCAAGTCCAACTGTAAACCCATCACTACCGTGCCTGCTAACTCATGTCCCTAAGTGTGTCCCAATGTGGATTGGGTGCTGGATCAAGGAGCTGCTTGGAAGGAGCCTCTGTTAGTTGTATTTTCTTTGGCGTGTGAAGCCTTGATGTTCATTGGACAATGTAGTCTGGAGGGAAGAACATGTTCTCCAGCTCCTACTCTCCTGACAGGAGCTGGAGTAAAGCAAGGAAGGGAACAGGAAATAAAGGAAAGGGCAAAGGCAGGAAGGTTTTGTAATTAAAACTCTTTCTTCCAGACTTTACATGAAGTTATTGTTCTTGAATCCCAGAAGATCAGTGGTGTTTGCGATTAATACTGAATAGAAGAGATGAAAAGGAATATTGATTAGCTGCTCATTGTATATTCTGGGCACTGATGATTTGGGGATCTGGATGAAAAAGGAGTATGTGACCATGATATTAAAAACTGTATAAGTATACTAGAATCACAACAAAAAAATGATTAAAAGTGCTCATACAAATTCTGTCATTTCCTAATTTTAAGTGATGAATTTTATTACTTCATGATTCTTTTAGCTAATATAATCATGCAATAATTTGGAACAATTATGCAATATTGCAATAATTATATTCTAATTCATACTAATTTTAGTGGAATCAGTTTTCCAAACAGTTAAAGAAAGATCATGAAATTTCTGGATGTTCTTGAGTGCTTTCACTGATTTTAGCTAATCCAGAAAGATGTGCATCGTCCATAAAAATATGCATAATTAAATTGTGTGGAAAGAGATTTTTGTATTGCTCTTTTTCTTAACTGTCATTAATATTTGGGAAAAAAAACCCCACAACATCTTGTTCTGTAAATGCTCGCAGTGAGGAGGAGTTAATGGACTATATTTAAAGCTTTATTTTTTTTATCAATTATTTTTGCTTGAAAGGGCTAACTATAAACACTTAAATAGTTTGAATTGCTGTAATACGATGACACATAAAATTTAATAGGCCCATGAAGTGTCATAAATAAT